GCCAAATCCCATATACATTTATATGTGTAATATATATCATGCATACATGTATATATGTACACACATCTTCTAAATATAAATGTATATATAAATAGACACCCATTGATTTAGAAGCATGAGATTTAGAGAGGAATTGAAAGAAGACAGACAGACAGAAAGAAAAAGAAAGAAAGAAAGAAAGAAAGAAGGAAGGAAGGAAGGAAGGAAGGAAGGAAGGAAAGAAGGAAAGAAAGAAAGAAGGAAAGAAAGATGGAAAGAAAGAAAGAAAAAAGAAAGAGAAGAAAGAAAGAGAAGGAAAGAAAATTGATTACTCACTAAATATTAACTTTTCTCCCTAAACCTTTGAGTGAAGCTGCAGCCAGTTGCCTCTGTGTCTGTACTCCCAGCACAGGACAGCCTGCCCCAGGGTCAATGTACACCGGTCTGAGAAGCACAGTGTGTTAGAACGTAGTAGAAAAGTAAGCAGAGTGTGCCTTGGGGGTGCAGGGAGCTTCCTATGAAGTCACATGTACTAAGTGTCTTCCTACCCTTTCACCTGGCCAGCCAAAGCTGGTGTCTTGTCTTTGTTCCTACAGCCACACAAGAGAGACAATGGCAAAATGGAGCACCCTGGGGACAGGGATGAGCAGAGTGAGGTATCTGGTAATCTCACTCTACGAGAAGGGGCAAAGCACTTGTATAAGGAAATACATTTAAGTTGAGATACAATATTTGTTTTCAAATGTTTGAAGGGCTGTCCTGTAGAGGAGGGGGCGACTTAACATGCAGCACCTTGGAAATGAGATAGAGGACAGAGAAGTTATAAGTGTTACCAAGCAATGGGCTCACTCTGCTCGCTGCTATCTGAGCCAATTAATCACAAGTTAGGGATCAAGAAGGGAAGTTTAATTAGATTAGACTGGCCAGCAAATCAGAAGACAGGTGACTAATGTCTCAAAAAACCCATCTTCAAAGATTACAGAATCTTGAGGCAGTTTTAGTGAAAATGGGCAGTAAGGAGGGGGTCCAGGGAGGTTGTTCTCCAGGCATGACGGGCTCCAGGCATCACATTGTTCCATTCTTCTGTCAGCTGTGATGGATACTTTGTAGGTATGTTTCCTGCCTGTGGTCAGCCTGTTCCTGGAGAGAAACTCATAGAACAAAGTTTTTAATTTATCAAGCTATCGGGGAGTACATAAGTAAACAGAGGTCATAAATCAGGAGAGCATGTGAATTTTTTAGAGTATGTGCAGAGCAGAAAATAATCACACAGAGGAGGGACTGGGGCCGTTTAGTATAATAAGATGGCTTCACTGATGCTCACTTACATAAGGAGGCAGATTTCAGCTCAGTGTAAGCAAATACCTGCCAAGAGTCCTTTGACCCCCAGTCTCCTCATCCATATAGTGAGAATAATACCACATACTCTAACGATGACACAGAGATGCAGTGAGGATCAAATGAGACAAAGTGTAAGCCAGGGATTTGTAAAGTTGAAAACAGTGGTCCTCAACTGTGGCTACACATTAAAATTACTTGGAGAGCTGAAAACATCCTGATGCTCTCTCTGGCTGTACCCTAGATTAATCCACCACAACCTCCGGACGTGGGGCCCAGGCTGCGGTAATTTTTAAAGCTCCCAGGTAATTCCATTGTATAGTTCCTTTGAGAACCATTGATCTAAAATAATTGTTAGTTGGATTCCTGGTGCTTATGGAAAAAGTAGATTTCACCTGAGGTACATCTGGGAGCCAATTTAAAAAAATGCCCATTAATCTAAAAATTGGAGCTAAAGGTTAGAGTTGACCAACTCTGGAGTGCAATATAGACCACATAGCCAGTCAATACATGATTAAGAGTGAAGATAGTTTAAGTAATATTTGTCTACTTATGGGTCTATGATGAGCAACTCAGGAGAGGCTGGCCTCATATTTTTCCTCAAAAGATCCTAGAGGAGAAGATAAGAATGTAACTGATGGGGTGAACGTTTGGACTTTAGGGAGGCCCTGAAACAGCCCTTGGGATGCCTCTGTACCAGCTGTGGGCTGATTTTATTGTATGATTTTATTATCCATGAATTTTTCATGGACCTGTAATTGACTGAATACACCCATTAAAATAATTAGAGCCCGGAGACTGATCTTAACTACAGGCTACAGGGTACTGCTCTTGTCCGTTTCTAGCTTGTTCCAGTTACAACAGTGAGGGTTGAGCTGTCATGCTGGGGGCACTGAGCCCCACCATGGTGGTAGTGGTAGGGGCACATAGCAAAGATATTATAGCAGGAGAGAGATGTGGGCAAAGCATAAAGAGATAGACAGATCAATGTAAAGCTCTTTACTTTCCCCCTTCCACCTTCCAAGAGATGGTCCCCAAGTCCAAGAAAAGAAATCAAGCTAAAAACTCCATACCCGACTGCATTAAGTCCCGGATGGGAGAAGAATGATTAAACAGCAGCATCTGCCAAAAACATGATGAATTCTATATGAATCAGCAAAGTGACTCAGCAGCTAAACAAAAGCTTATCTAGAGTGTTTGGGCAAGTGAAGGGGTGGTCCTGCTCTGCTCTGTGGTCATCCTCCCCATTATTAGCAGGCCCAGGGCTGGGCCCAGGGCTTCAAGAGAGGCCAGGTCCAGAGGCCAAAGGGCTAGGGAATAGTCTGCCAACAATGACAGGGCAGGCAGCCACAAGCCTGGGTCACTGCGAGAAGCCAGTTAGCTGCCTTCAAATGTCTGAAGGGCTAGCAGGGGAGAGATGGATTGGATTTTCTCTATGTGATTCCAGAAGACAGAACTGGGCTTGGGGCTAGCTCTCTCAGGAGCCAGACTTGGACTCAACAAAAGAAGAATCTGACTCTATAAACAGCTTTACTAGAGAATTGCGTGCATGGAGGTAGTGAGCTCCCAGTTATTGGGGCATTCAAACAAAGGCAGGATGACCACCTGGAGGGGATGTTGGTTGGAGTGGGGAAGTTAGGAATCAAGTATTAGGTGAGGGTTGAACCAGTTGACCTCTATGATTTACTTAGAATATTCAAAATCCATTAATGCAATTATGGCACTTTGAAAATTCACACTTGTTTTCTTCAAGTTAAATCCTCTGAGCCTTGTTTGTTTCGTAGCTGGAGTAATCAAATAATCATTCCCAGGGGACCACAGTTGTGCCTGTGAATCATGTTATTTTCTCCTAAATCCCTTCTTCCTCCCCTGCCTTGCCCTCCTTCAGCTGACTCAGGCAGATCTCCTTGACTCTCCTCCAAAGTCCGATTTTTAAAAATAAAATTATCACAGATTTATGCCGCCTGTGCCTGATGCTGGGGGAGCCACAGAACAGAAAAGTTACAAGGAGCAGGCTCAAAAACAATTCTTCTGACCTCGGGCATTGATATGCTAAAGAGGAGGCAGTTTCCATAGAAAATGTAGCTGTTATTGATAATTAGACTTTTTTTTTTTTTTTAAGGAAAATAAAGTGAAGCCTGGGAGAGAAATATTGCTCCAAGTTTTAGCTGAATTTTTGTTTTCTTCTGGACTGATGATCTTCTCACACTTGGCACTGTCTCAGTTTAGGTTGAAGGGGACCTTAGAGATGATACATACCAGATTCTTCATTGTCCAAAATGAAGAAACTGAAGCCCACAGGGCAAAGGGAGTGGTCCACGGTCCCCTAGCACCTCGGGGCAGAGCTGAGACTGTAGGAGAATTGCACGCACCCCGCTCAGGCTCCCCCACTTCCTCACAGGCCTAGAAGCTTTCTCCAGGTTTCCTCCTGAAAAGGAGTGGGGTCCTGGTTGCCCCTGGACCTTGGGCAATGAGCGACTGGGCGTCAAGCTGGGAAAGTTATGAACAGGAAAACTGAGCCCCTGACCATACAGCTGTCCTCTAAGCCCTTTCATCTTGGGTGGTTTTCCAAGCCTGCCACCCAGTCCAGGCTGCTCACACCTGCCCCACCCATCCATCTCCCCCCATCAGCGTGAGAACCATCTTCTGGGGGCTGGATTTTTCTCTTGGTGCTCAAACCTCCTAGGGGTCCAAAGTAGGTGGCTCTCAGCTTCTTCCTCAAGAAATAGCTATACCTGAGGGGCTTCTGGGTTGGTTCCCGCCCCCCCTGCCAGAGGGTGGTGTGACAGCTCCCATCCCTCTGTCACATCAAAGCCTCCGGCCAAAGGGAGAGCAGAAACAAGTCCTCCTGTGAGTGGAGGGAATTTGGGGCAGTTGGAGAAGAGCGAGCCCCCTTGCAAACCGGTGGCCTAATTTGCAGGGCCAGGCGCAAAATGAAAAGGCGCTTCAGGGTCACAGGCCCGGGAAACCCACCCTGCTTGGCTGGGTCCCCAGTGGATAGGGACAATAATTGCTTAGGTCCCGGAATCAAGGACCCGGGGAGGCCTTCTGCTTCCTCACATAAATGCTCTGTTCGTCCTTATAAACGTGTTTCTGTTTCCTCCTGGCTAGCAGGTCTGCGGGGGGACCGCCGGGTTCTGTGATGGTTCGGGAAGTCTGTATCTCATTTTTCATGTTTTCCTCTGTAGCACAACAACCTTCTCCATCCCATCCTCATTATTTCACTTTGCTACTTAAATGAAACGAGCAGTGGCGCCTGTTTAATGTGAAAGATTAACGTTCAATAGGGCAGCGGAACTGTGAGACTTTATTTTGGACTGGGACCGGCCAGGAGCGCAGTGGACCCCTCGAACCCTGAGGACAGGGCGCCCAGCTGTGCACGTTACCTCAAGCTCTCCCCTCCTGGGGGCGCAGTCCTCCGGCTTTGCGCCCCCGGGGAGCGGGGAGCGGCGCGCGGCGACATCCCAGGGTCTGTCTCCCCGGAGCCTGCGCGGCCATTCGCGGTGCTGATGCACCCCCCGCCCCGCACAGCGCCCCCCGCGCCCCCCGCCCGGCGCTGCACCGGATCCCCCCACCCCCACCCCCCGCGCCCGCTTCCAGAAAGCTCCCGGTGCATTCCCCGGCATTCTCTGGGCGTGAGTCATTCAGGTTTGCAGCCAGCCCCCAAGGGGGTGTAACGAGAGCGAGCGCTATAAAGCCCGGCGCCTCGCCGTGCTCACCACGCCGCGTCGCCAGCAGGAGCTCACCGGCGCCTGGGCTGCTGACTGGTGAGATTCTCCCCTCTACCCCTGCGCAGAGCCCCACGGGCACCGGTGGGCGGGCGGGGGAGGTGGGCGGGCGGGGGAGGCAGCCAGGCGAGGAGAGGACGATCGCTGGCAGTCACAGGGCTGTCAGAGCTGCGCTTTGGATGGAGTCGGGGAGCCGGGGAAGGGAGGTGGCCAGAGCCCCGTCACCAGGCAGCCGAGTCGGTGGCCGAATTGTGGGGGGCGGCGTCCACGCTGCTCCTCAGGACTCCCTGTGCTCATTAGCTTCAAATACAACTCTGTGGGGTAAATAAGGCAGGTGTAATGATCCTCTTGCAAAGTGGGGGAAACTGAGACTTGGAGAACTGACGCCTATTGCCGGAGGCCCAGGCTCGTGAGTGGCAGAGCTGGCCTGCACGCAGGGCCTTCCTGCAGCATCTTCCTGTAAAGGTACTGCTCTCAGTGGGGGTTGTCCGCTTGCGTGCATGAGTCATCCTGTTTGCTCCGGAATTCTCTAGCTCTTCGAATAGTGTTTATAAGTATGATGTTTTGATTTAAGTTTATGTTGCAATCACTTAAATCCTACTCCTTCTGCTTCCTAATGCAGCAGGGTACATCAGAGAAAAGTCACACAGCCTCTGTCAGACCTTAGACATCTGATTCAACGTCTCATTTTATAGATGATGATCTGAGGCCTGGAGAGGTTTAGGACCTTCTCCAAAGATAAACAGCAAATGGTGTCAGAACTGGAATTACAACCGAAGCCTCTTGACCTTCCAGAATCTCTAGACCTAATGTAAAAAAAGAAGCTGATTGTTATTATTTTCTTTTAAGAGAGAGGTCAGGAATTTAAGAGTAACTACGGATACTACAAAAGGATGCTCGTGAGTGTTCATTATAATTATAGTGGGAAATTATAGATAATTTAAATGCCCAACCTTGCGGGATAGCAAAATAGAGTACATCAGAAAACAGACTATTATACAGCCACAAAAGTGTGCTTTTAGAGAATATTTGAAGATAGTGGGTATAAAGGATCCCATTGTATACAAATGCATAGAAAATAGAAGGAAATATACTTCAGTGCTCATATTTGCCTCTGGATGGTATGAATTACAGGGGAATTATTTTCTCATTTTTCCTTGTGGTTTAGTTTTCTACATTTGGGGAGGCAGTAGGATAGGAGGTTGGGCCTTGGGCTTTAAACCCTGCAGCTTACTAGCCCATCAGGGGCCTCTCCCGGAGAAGTGTTCCTTGCTGGCTTCCTCCCTCTGGCGTGATGAAGGATCTGTCCCTACTGAGGTGTTTCAGGCCTCAGTGAGCAGCTGGGGCAGAACCCGTGAGCCTGGGCCTTCTGCTGGGCCTCAACTAGCACCCTGGCTCAGCCGTCCACCCTGGCTTTGGGGAATGCGATGACCCACTCTTCTCCCACGCTGCTCCTTCGCTCCGTGTGGCTGGTTCGGGAACCACGACTCTGCTACCTTACCAATTACCCTTCAGAGAGGCTTGCCTTCTTAGTGCTCTCCCAGTGTCCAGATGGGCCTGCTGCGCTGAGAGCACAGTTTCAGGAAGGAGGGCCTCCCCGGTCTGTTGTGGGACATGGGTGAGTTCAGATGAGCATTTGGGGGGAGGGCAGGTTGCAGGGGGAGGGGTTTCTGTTTTATGCAACAACTTCAGCTTCTGGGAAGGGGTCTGTTGTGTAAGACCAGGCACCAGCCCAGTGGTGGCAGGAGCCCCTTGGCAGGGCACCCTGATGTGAGCTTAGAGGGAACAGGCCATGTGACAGGGACCTGGCAGAGCAGAGGGACTTTTCCTGGGGAGACATCGGGGCCCAGCTGCTCCTTGGCCCACTGTTCACCATTTCACTCTGCTTCTCCCTCTCTACTCCCTGGAGACAATTGTCCACCTCTCCTCGCTCTTCTCTTTATTTATACCCCCAAATCCATGCAGCCTGGCTCAAGTTTCATGCTAGGGATGGCAAACAGATTTTATTTTCCTGTGTGGACCCAAAGGGTTGGCTGTCACTGCATCAGACTCTTGAAAAGCAGTTTTAGGTGTCGAGGCTCCGGGGGAGGAAAGTGCTGTGATTGATTGGTCATGCCTGCTGTGGGCAGGGGGTTAGTGATGCGCACGGCATGGGGCTGTCTGAGCTCTGGGATGCAGGCTTCGCTGTGGAGGGGCAGGATAGGGCTGTGAGTGATCCAAGAGAGGTTTTATCAGGGTTTGTTTGATATGAGCAGGTATCATTAGATAGACGCCCTTTCTGGATGCAGAAAGCACGTGCCCCTTGCTCAGGCATATTCAGCTATTATGGGGAAGGAGGAGGAGGAGGAGAACCCGAGCCCAGTGGCTCTGACTGCAGGGTTCTTATTTCTTCTGTGTTAGGCAGCTGTCCTGTGGTTCTTCCCTGTACCCACTGCCTCCACTTTCTTTTGAAGGTGTCCAATGCCAAGTCTGATCTTTTTCCCAATTTCCCATGGTGGGTAAAAACACAGTGATGCCACCTGAGAGGATAGCCCAGGGCAGGGCCTCTGCAGGGCCCCTGGGAAGCTGCTGCAGGCAGCAGGCTGGGCCGGAAATCAGCAGGCTTTCGAGCTGTTACCATGACAGTCTCTTGTTCTCTACAAACAGAGGCGTGCTAGGATTCCAGAAGTGGAGAAGGAGGCAAGATGAAGACTCTCCTGCTGTTGGTGGGGCTGCTGCTGACCTGGGAGAATGGACAGGTGCTGGGAGACAAGGCAGTCTCAGACAGAGAGCTCCAGGGTAAGTGGACCAGGCGTGCCCCTCTTAGCACACTTCCTCCATCAGGGCCCCAAAGGTTAAAGACCGTTTTTATCCTTTGCATCGGATTGGCTTTGCTCTGCCCGGGGCCCTCTCTGAGCCTCTTCTCCCTGGCTACCTGGCCTACGCTCTCTGTGGGCAGGTTGGCTTCTAGGCATTGTCAGGTGTCTCCTAAGCCCTTTCTGGCTGCTGTATCTTGTTCAGCTGTTCCCTTCCCATTCTGCTCGCCCGGCCCCCATGCCTCCTCCGTGAAGGTCCATGAAGGCTGGACCACGTGATCCTCTGTGGCTCTCCCCTTTCTGAGTTTCTGTGGCACTTACTACGTGTTTCCTCCCTGCTTCCACCTACAAAACCAAATGGCATTCACTATGAGGGGTTGTCATCCTTCAGAGCACAGCTGGTGGTCCCCTCCTCTGCCAGCCCTTTCCTGAAACCTGTCCTCCCTCCACCCCACTCTTGTCCTACTTGCTGACCAGTTCTCCTGGGTAGTAGTTAAAAACCCAAACTTTGAGATGAGAATGGGTATGAGTCTGGCTGTGTAACCCTGGGCAAGGATCTTGATCTCACTGGCTTCTCTTTCCTTTCTGTGTGATGGGGATGATGACGTGCTGGGAGGGTTAAATAAAATGCTCGTGCCGTGTCCGGCTCAGCGCTTGGCCCCAGATCAGTACCACAGAAGCATTAGCTGTTACTCCTTTAGTACTTTGGTGACATTGTCTCATTGCATTTATCACAGGGTGTTGTGTCTTGATCACAGTCTCCTTGAGGAATGGTGCTGTTAATTCATCTTTGTGTCCCCATCACCTGACACTGTGCATTGGAACAAAGAAGAAGTTCAGATGTTTGGTTAAATTGAATTCCGAAAGGACTTGTATCCAAAATAATAATATTTTATATTTTGAAACTTAAGTGGTTACACTTCCAGAATTATTGTTTTCTTTGAAAATTTTCTTCTGCAGCTGGGCAGGCTCTTTCTCCAGAGCCGCAGGGGCGTGGTGCGGCTGTCCCTCCTCTGGGGTGTGTCCACTCCGATGGTCTGTGTTTCTGAGCAGCTGGGCGTAATTGACTCTCAGGCTCTGGGTCCACAGTGAGCCCTGCGATGGGAGCCTTGTCAGGGCAAAGCTGGGGTCCAAAGGCTGCGCCTAGACCCGGCTGGCCTTTCTGACCATTCCAGCCGGTCCCAGGGTTGTATCCCCATCACCATCTCTTCCTCTCCCCTCATTATACCTCCCTGCTCTTTTCCTGCAGAAATGTCCACCCAGGGGAGTAACTACATTAATAAGGAAATTAAAAATGCCCTCAAGGGGGTGAAACAGATAAAGACCCTAATAGAACAAACAAACGAAGAGCGCAAATCACTGCTGGGCACCTTAGAGGAAGCCAAGAAGAAGAAAGAGGTGAGAGCCAGGTGGCCCCACCCCACCTTGACCCCTGCTTGAGGGGAGGGCAGGGTCCTTGCTTCTTGGGTACCCTGCTAGGTTGCCATGGTGACCGGGAGTGGAGTCCTTCCTGGGCTGGGTCAGCTGACACTGGGGCTTTAGTTAGGAAATAGGGTTTATTTGCTTTTTGAAAGCTTCCAGGGGTGCGATCCTGGATCTGGTTTTGTTACAAGCCTGGCCCAGGGCCTGCTGCCCAGATTCACTTCAATAGATTTTTCTAAACCCTGGCTGTGTGCAAGCTCCAAGGTCAGCTTTGCATAGGGTCTGTCAGGGGTTAGGAGGGGGAGGCACACACTGTATTGCATTGTATTGTATTTAACTTCCTACCTTCAGAAAGCTTATCTGGTAGGGGCAATACCTTTGGGGTTAAGGCAGGCTCACACTGTACTGCCCCATGTCTCTCTAGAGTTCTGGACTACTTCATCCAGAGACACCCAAGTCCAACAGTGAACATGGTGGGTCTAGCCTGTGCTTAATGATGCGATAAAACTAAAACACTATAATTCAATAAACGACTTATTTAAAAAATCAATAGTCTCCTTAAGGATATCCTAAAAACCTATGCTCATTGTCACCCTACCCCTGACAAAGGAGATGCTAAGATGGGGCCACTTGCCACCTTCATGATCCACAATGCATAGTAAAAGCATTTTAAAGGCTCTGAGAAGTTCTGCAGTGAAGAAACCCATGTAACTTCATTTAATCCTGTGTTTTCCAAATCAAATTGACCAGAGAATCCTTTTTTTTTTTTTTCCTGATAACTTTTAGCACAATTCCATGGAAACCACTTAAGGAAATGCTGGCCTGGATGCAACTCTAACTTTTTTTGAAACTTAACGCCCCTTCTTGGCATTGGTGTTAGTTCTCACCATTCTGTGAGAATCCTCAAATAGCTCATGGTAGGAGGGGCAAATCTTGTTCTTGAATTTTGTGATTATCACTGAAGTTTGATAGTTGACAATCCAGGTTTTATGATAAAGCACATCAAGTTTGGAAAAAGACTCTATTACTTGTCAGTTGAGGAATATGTGAACCTGAGAGAAGGGAAGTGAGCAGCGTAGTTGATGCTTGTGAATTGGGTAGGAGGTCTGGCGGCCTGTCTTTCACCAGCACGGAGCAGGGGACAGGGAGCAGGGGACAGGGAGCAGGGGACAGGAGCAGGGGACAGGGAGCTGGGGAAGATCTGTAACTCGACCGCCTCCTGGTCAGATCTTCGTAGTGTAGCTTTGCTTTGGGGTGTGGATGGTCTTCTTAATTCTTCTTTGAAGAGTAATACACTCATTTTCAAGATTTTATTTATTTATTTATTTATTTTTAAAGTGACACCTGATTTTGTTCACTTTTGGGAAAATGTCTGCCAAATAGGGCAGAGTCAAGTCTGAATTGACCATAATTTATCTGTTAGTCAATTTTTTTGTGTGTGTGTGTGAGGGAGATCAGCCCTGAGCTAACATCCGTGCTAATCCTCCTCTTTTTGCCGAGGAAGACCGGCTCTGAGCTAACATCTATTGCCAATCCTCCTTTTTTTCCCCCAAAGCCCCAGTAGATAGTTGTATGTCACAGTTGCACATCCTTCTGGTTGCTGTATGTGGGACGCGGCCTCAGCATGGCCGGAGAAGCGGTGCATCGGTGCACACCCAGGATCTGAACCCGGGCCACCAGTGGTGGAGCGCGTGCACTTAACCGCTAAGCCACGGGGCCGGCCCTCATTTTCAAGATTTTAATATGGAAAAGTAGAAGAGGAAAAGTTTTTCCATAACTCTTTAACCTTTGGACAATTTAGTGTTAACATTTGATCTATTGCTTACTATTTTTTTCTTGTATACTTTTTTGACCATTGCTATATTCAAAATCATAAGTTTTTGGGGGGCTGGCCCCGTGGCTTAGCAGTTAAGTGTGCATGCTCTGCTACTGGCGGCCCGGGTTCGGATCCCGGGCATGTACTGAAGCACAGCTTCTCTGGCCATGCTGAGGCCACGTCCCACATACAGCAACTAGAAGGATGTGCAACTATGACATACAACTATCTACTGGGGCTTTGAGGAGTAAAAGGGAAAAAAAGGAGGAGGATTGGCAATGGATGTTAGCTTAGGGCCGGTCTTCCTCAGCAAAAAGAGGAGGATTAGCATGGATGTTAGCTCAGGGCTGATCTTCCTCACAAAAAAAGAAAAAAAAAAAACCATAAGTTTTTAACATGAAAAGTGCTTATTATAATATTTAACTCTTATTATAAACATCCCTTGTAATGCTTATCTACTCTTTGTATGGACCACAATTTGCTTAACTTGTCCTCTAGTTTTGAGCATCTGAATTCATTCCAGTATTTTGTTTTTTTTTTTGGCTATAAACGAATACTGTACAAATATCTTTAGACATATGGATTTTCCCTTTATGGCAGGGATTCCTCGGCATAGATTCTTATGGAATTATTGGGTCAAATGACAGGAGCACATTAGAGTTTGGGGAGTTGTTGTGACGTTGATTTTGAAAGCTTGCCTATTCCTGGGGCGTGGCAGGGGACCATGGTTGCAATAGAAAACTAAGAGTCAGGGGGCCTCCAGAAGCTTCAGAAGACGACATTTAAACATCAGAAGTTGAGCATAGAAGATGAGGTGTAAGTAAGAGGTAAATGCTGGGGTGAGGACTGTAAGTGAGGTGTGGGAAAAGGAGATGTCCACATGGGGTCTCGTGGCCAGGAAGGGCCAAGGAACAGCTGGGTCTTCAAGGTGAGGGGATGTTTAAAGCTAGGTGGGGAGGGCATTCCAGGTAGGCACATGAGGGAATGCATGAGCCAGAGCAGGGAGGTCTGGCACCACCGGGCCTGCGTGGGAAGGGCGAAGCCTGTGGTTTCTGTGTGGCTAACCCTGCCTTGTGTCCTCCTGTAGGATGCCCTAAGTGAGACCAAGGATTCTGAAACGAAGCTGAAGGAGTCCCAAGGGGTGTGCAATGAGACCATGGCGGCCCTCTGGGAGGAGTGTAAGCCCTGCCTGAAGCAGACCTGCATGAAGTTCTACGCGCGTGTCTGCAGAAGCGGCTCAGGGCTGGTTGGCCACCAGGTGAAAAGGGGAAACGCTCCTGGAGAGTGGCCTGGGCGCAGAGCGGGGAATGAGGAGAACCAGATGAAATATGCTTCTGTTATTCCCCACCCGGTTCCAGTGTGTGAGGGGTCCCCACACCAAGCAGTCGCCGACACCATCCGGGTGTCCTACAATTCAACTGAATTTGGACACTATCTACCTGGAGATAGCATCAGATCCCACAGGTTAAGGGTTCAGTCCCACAAGACTGCCCCACCCCACTGCCCCCAACTTCAGACATCAATTGTAAGTCCAGTTTGTCACCTGTGCTTCTGACCAACGGGCTGTAGATTGGATGTTCCCATGACACTCTCCTTGGGTTCAATTAATTTGCTAGAGCGGCTCACAGAACTCAGAGAAACATTTTACTTACTAGATTATCAGTTTTTGATAAAAGGATGTAACTCAGGAACAGCCAGGTGGAAAGATGCACAGGGCGGTATGGGGAAAGGGCGTGGAGCTTCCATGCCCTCTCTGTGCGCCTCACTCTCCCAGCACCTCCACGTGTTCACCAATTCAGTAGCTCCGCAAGCCCATCCCTTTGGGTTTTTATGGAGGCTTCATTACATAGGCATGATTGATTAAATCATTAGCCATTGGTGATTGATTCAACATCCAGCCCCTCTCCCCTCTCTGGAAATCAGGGGGTGGGATTGAAAGTTGCAACCCTCTATTCATGGTTGGTTCACCTGGCAACCAGCCCCCATCCTTAGGGACTTTCCACAAGTTACCTCATTAGCTGACATCTGTATTGCTGTCATCACAGGAAATTCTAAGGGTTTTAGGAGCTTTGTGTCAGGACAAAGACCAAATATTTATTTTCTGTTATAAATCACAGTATCACAGCTTTATTTCACATGCCAGATTCAATTGATTAGTTCTGGCTACATTTGGGCCCAGAGTGCCATGATCAATTGGTAATGTCTGCTATGAGTGCAGAAATGTGGAGTCATCAAAAGCACCTGTGCCAGGTGTTTGCCATCTCTTAGAAGACTCTTATCTAGCAGTTACTAGCTGGATAACATAACAAACGGCTTCATGGTATGGCAGAGCCCGGGGTCCACTTAGGCAGAAGGAATTAAGAATTTTTAGTACATTAACATTGATTCCATCTTCCCCTGTGGGCCTCCCTCAGTTGAGACTCATGAATTTTGCCATTCCCTGAAGGCATATCAGTTGACCCTTGGCTGAGCAGGGGTGGGGATCATTGGTGGCCGAAGAGGACAGCAGACTAGTCTGAAATGACAGGCCTTCACAGGTCTTCCTAAACTCTTCCCTGTTGGTGTCGGTAGAATGGAAGGGCATCACCTGACAGTTCAGAGACTGGGCAGCCAGTCCCAGGGGGGCCTTCAGTCACACGCTGTGCAACTCTGAGGAGACTGAGGTGCAGCGAGGGGCCGGGCTGGCCCATCTCGACCAGGAGAAGGCGCAGGAGGCTGGGCCTGTGGTGAGCTTCTCCTAACTGTCTCCATTCTGCCTGTCACAGCTCGAGGAGTTCCTGAACCAGAGCTCTCCCTTCTACTTCTGGATTAACGGTGACCGCATTGACTCGCTGCTGGAGAACGACCGGCAGCAGACCCACGTGATGGACGTCATGCAGGACAGCTTCAACCGGGCGTCCAGCATCATGGACGAACTGTTCCAGGACAGGTTCTTCGCCCGTGAGCCCCAGGATGGTTACTACTACTCGCACTTCGGCCCGTCCCGTAGGGGTTCTCTCTTCTTCAACCCCAAGTCCCGCTTCGCGCGGCACATAATGCCTTTCCCTTTGTTCCACCGCCTGAACTTCCAGGACATGTTCCAGCCCTTCTTCGACATGATCCACCAGGCCCAACAGGCCATGGATGTCCACCTTCACAGTCTGCCCGACCAGCTCCCCATGACAGAAATCCCAGGAGGTTAGAAAGGTGTCTCATTCTTCCTAAGAAGGGGTGGGAACTAACATTTTAGTGAGAAACCCATTAGATGCTGAGAACTATGCTGGGGGTTGGCATGTGTCACCTTGATTTCCCCCCAGCAGCCCCGTGAGGGAGCTCATCTCCATTTAAGGAGGAGAAAACTCTGACAGAGGTAAGGGAGTGAGTCCAAGCTTTCACAGCTGGTGAAGTGGGTCCCGGTCAAATCCAGCCCTGCAGGACTTGGAGTTTGTATTCTTTCGAGTTTACCATGCTCTTTTCAGCAACTAGTGGGCATGACGTGGACTGCTGCCTCTAGGGAACCAGACCCCTTTCTCTTGGGAGCTCAGGTGGCTTTAGGTGGATGCCATGCAAACATTGGTGACAAATGATATAATCAGCCCATATTACAGTTAAGACAGCTGTTCCTGGCTGTAACCTTAGGGCCTGGTACAGAATGGGTGCACAGTGAATAGTTTTTGAATGAGTGAAGTCTCATGTGGACATGAAAAGCCAATACTTTTAGAAGTGATTTCTTTCATTGAACCAATAGACATCTGTTGGCCAATGCCATCCCTAAATGCTACAGTTTGGCACCAGAGTTGGGCTTGAAATGGATTGGAAATATAGGAGGGCAGTGAACTGAACAAGCATCTACTGCATAACTGTGATGGGGGGAGCCCCGGGTGATAAGGAGGTTCCAGAGGATCCCATTCCTGCCTTCCAGGGGCTTGCTGTACTTCTAGGGGAGAGAAATAAGCCAGATAGAACGCAGAGCAAAATGGGTTATGATGCCAAAGAGCAGTGCAAATAGTTAAGGGAGTGTGGAGGCAGGAGAGGTCTCATCAGATGGAGATGGTGGGGGGCCATGCCCTGCTGCGGGAGCCCTGGGGACCACCTCCTGGTGGTCTGCAGGGAGCCCTGATCAGGCCAACAACCAAATTGCAACCTGCTCTGCCCCGAAGAACCATCTCAAACAGAGGTGTGGAAGGGGTAGGAGAGATGGGGGTGGCCCATCCCTGTGTGGCTGTGTGGTCCCTCAGCATGACTCACTCTTGTGTGTCTCCAGAAGACAACCATGACCGTGCCGTGTGCAAGGAGATCCGTCACAACTCCACGGGGTGCCTGAGGATGAAAGACCAGTGTGAGAAGTGCCAGGAGATCTTGTCAGTGGGTGAGTCAGGGAGCCTGGGGTCCCTGGGACGTCCTTGGGGCTGCCTTTCTGGGGTCAGACAGACGGGAGCTCAGGTTCTGGCTCTGCTGCCTCCCAGCTGTGGCTCTGGGTCCTTCGCTCCGTCCGCCTGGGCTCCTCATCTGTAGTCCAGGGTTAAGGGGCAGGGTTGTCCCTGAGGTCGGGAGACAGTATCCGAAGTGCCTGCCACATCACCCAGCGTGTGATCAAGAGGCAGTCCATGCGACGGGCGGCGGTGCTTTTTAAAAAAGCCGTCATCCTTTGATTTTCCCCAGTTATTCTTTTCCCGAGGGCCAAGCAGAGTAGACATCCTCATTTTTCCCTGCTGATCCTGAAATTTTAGATGGTATGCATTCTGTTTAACAACACTTACCCTGTGCCAGGCAGTGTTATAAACGCTTTGCAAATATTTACTCATTTCCTCAGAATGACCCCGAGTTGCGTACAACGATTGTCCCTGTCTCACAGAGGAGGAACCTCCCTCACAGATGGTTAAGTAACTTCCTGGGGTTCCGGGACACCCCTGTGTGGGGAGCCAGGTGTCTGGGATGTGTCCTGAGCCACTGCTTTTGTTCTCTCCCAGCACACGGGGTCCCTGGGAGGGGGCCTTAGCTTCCCAGCAACAGTCCCCCTGGTTGTCATTGACTAGTTTCTTCCTACTTTGAGGGAACAGCTATGGAAGCACCTAGAATAGTTCCTGGAACACGACAGTCTGTGCTCAGAAAGAGTTAACTGTTTCCCTTGTACACAGCCCATCGACCTTGTGGCTTTGCTCTTACTTAATACATTTGGGCTTGCCAGGGAGGACTTCGGAGTCTAGTTAAATATTCCTAGCCTCATTCCTGTAATTTTAGAAGCCACTGACAAATAAATACAAGTGCTGTAAGAGGCTGATGTATGAAGAAGTGAAGATGAGTACATAACCAAGCCTTTTGTGCTTTTCCCATGAAATATCACGGTTAGAATATCATAAATTACATAGTACCTCACCACGAGAAAGTCACGTTAGGGCCAGAAGAGGAGATGTGAGATGCCCAGGCTTGGATTGTCACCCCAGCACTGATCTTAACAGTCACTGATCACGGCTTCGCCAAACAGGTGCCTTCTCTGCAGTAAGGAAGACTCACAACCTCTTATTTAAGGTGCTCGCAACCGTGCGCGAACTGCCGGCTCTCTAGACCAGGATTTCTCAGCTTGGGGGCTGTTGACATTTTGGGCTGGGTCATTGTCTGTCGTGGGGCTGTCCTGTACACTGTAGCATGTTTAGCAGCACCCCTGGCCTCTGCCCACTAGATGCCAGGAGCCCCCCACCAGTGTGTCAACCAAAAATGTTCTCAGACTTTGCTAAATATCCTGGGGCGCAGCATTGCCCCCAGGTGAGACCCGCTGTCTAGACGGAGTCTCAGTTCTCAGCGACTTTTCTTATTTTTTAGTTATTCCCCTGGCAAAAGAGTTAAGGGTATTTATTATATATCTTTTTCAACCTGGCTTCTTGTTAGTAATTCTCTTTCTTGCCCCACCTAACATTTTATTTTATTTTAATACAAATGATTACATTTAATACAATTATTTAATATAATCATTTAATATAAATGATTACGACTCTGTGGTGTGCAAAGATCTGCTTTCCCCTGACCTGTCTGAGTCTGATGTGCTCTCTTCGGGATATTTTTGAAAAATTTAGGAAGAGAAAAACAGTTTTTTAGAAAAATTATTTTATTGAGGTCATAAGGGTTTATAACATTGTGTAAATTTCAGGTGTACATTATTATATATCACTTTCTGTATAGACCGCATCGTGCTCACCACCAATAGTCTAGTTTTTATCCGACACCATGCATATATGCCCCTTTACCCTTTTCGCCCTCCCCTACCCCCTTACCTTCTGGTAACCACCAATCTGTTCTCCTTATCTACGTGTTTGTTTATCTTCCACATATGAGAGAAATCATATGGTGTTTGTCTGAGAAAAACAGTAGTTTTTAAAGAGATAGTGGGTGGTTGCCAGCTCTTATCAATCTGACAACCTGCAGTGGGCAGTCAGGGACCAAAATGAATGACCTCTACCCCTCGCTCCCTGGTGAGCTAGGGCACCAGCCATGGTGGGCAGATGGGCAAGCCAGGACTCCCAGCCACCAGGCTGCTGCGCTCTGCAGCATGAGGGTCCTAGCTGGCTCTTCTGCCACATGCGCTCTCATGGCCAGAATATCCAGCTCTGCAGATATGCTCAAAAGACAAGCTTGGAGAATTTTCCAGAACCACAGACTCAGAATAGGAAGAGCCTGAGTTTGGGAGTTAAAGTCCTGGGTTCAATCCTGGCTCCACAAATTGTGCGTTCTATGACTTTAGGCAAGTGATTTACTTCTGCAGGCCTCAATTTCATTATTGGTAAAAAAAAAAAAAAATTCACTATTGGCAGTACTTAAGTCAGAATACGTCTGCTTGTTAGAAATAATGGATTTCCAAAGCACTTAGGTGGTGTCTGGTATGTAGTAGGGGCCACACAAATGGTAGCTCTAAGCAACATTCCCCTCTTGGAAATGGCCCGCTGTGGGGGACTAGGGCAGCGAGAGTAGCTCCAGGTCTGAGCACACGGAGCCCTGAGACCCCCGCTTCTCGCAGTGTGGTCAGTGTGTTCACTCCCGGTCTCCAGGGAGATAAGGGTCTTGCACCCAAAGATAAATCAGCGATGTCACCGAGCATGCTGTTCAGGTCAGCTGACATTGCTTTCCAGAGCAGGACTTTCTCGATGGAGGAAGCCGCATGTCGACTTACGTCCTGTGGCGAGCTCTTTATTTTGTCCGGGACTGACGACAGACGGTTTGTGGAGCGGCTCTGAGAGCGGCTCTGCTTCAGGTCTGGGCTGCGTGAACTGATTTCCATTCATGTTTTCATCCCTTTTTAGCTTTCCCTTCACATTTCTGCCTTTTGTTTTTTCGTCCCTGGGCAGACTGTTCGACCAACAACCCCTTGCAGATGCAGCTGCGGCAGGAGCTGAACAACTCCCTCCAGCTTGCCGAGAAGTTCACCAAGCTGTACGACGAGCTGCTCCAGTCGTACCAGCAGAAGATGCTCAATACCTCCTCCCTGCTGAAGCAGCTGAACGAGCAGTTCAACTGGGTGTCCCAGCTGGCCAACCTCACCCAAGGAGAGGACCAGTACTATCTCCAGGTCACCACGGTGAGTTGTGTCCCCACCACACCCTGAAGCGGGGGGCCCAGGGTGTGGTCTGGAGGGGATGCAGACCTCCCCTGGGGGTGAAATGGGATGGAGGTATTAAGGGGGCACTTGCGCTTCTGACTGAGCATGTGTCATGTGGTGGGAAACATAACAACTTTACGTACATTGTTGCACGGAAGCTTCATCATCCAGTGAGGTAGAATATCATGACCCCATTTTATGGATGGGGAAAGTAGGGAGGTTCAACAGCTTGCCCAAGGTCAGATAACTGATGGGTGACCCACCTGGGCATTTGAACCTGTCTGCCTGGCTGTGGAGCCTGTACACTTTCCACGAAGCTGCCTTGCTGCCCTACGCCATGTAGGATGGCTCGTGAATTGGTGCATCGTTCTCCACCAGTGATAACAGGCTTCCCTCTAGCAGGGAACCTTCTTACTTTCTTTCTCTGATTCCTTTTCTATCACAGCCTGGCTGGTGGCCGCCCAAAGAAAGCATGTTGGCTTGGAAACCAGTTTTCACTCTGTGGGGCTCCCCTGGGCTGGTAATTTGTGGATGGGTTGTACACCTACAACACGTGTCTCTGAATGAGGGCATTTCTGCTCACCGAGTTGTACAGATGTCGAGATTAGTAAAAGCAAAGGGGTCAACTGTCCAGATTTAAGCCTGACTTTTGTTGCAAAATGAGTTCCTTTTGACCCATGTTTCAGCCCTTCTGTTACCTTTTCTGCTTCTAGGTGGCTTCCCACAATTCCGACTCCGACGTTCCCTCTGGCCTCACGAAGGTGGTTGTGAAGCTCTTTGATTCCAACCCCATCACTGTGACGGTCCCAGAAGTAGTCTCCAGGAACAATCCTGAATTTATGGAGACTGTGGCAGAGAAAGCTCTGAAGGAATACCGCCAAAAGCACTGGTGAGCGTGCAGGCCTCACCTGTGATTTTTCCGGGCCCAACAGGTCCCTGGGAGCCAACAAAAGAGCAGAGCACCCAGCCTGGGAGTGGCGGCTCTTGCAGCCAGAGCCCAGGCACGAAGGCAGGGAATCACCGGGAATTTTGTTTTTCCTTTGGAGAGTGTTCTTTCTGGGAGGATAAGAATTTGAGTGTTGGTTGCTGCCTCTCAGTGAATATCGAGCCCTCACTGTCCCCTCCTTTATTTTTTTTCAGGGCGGAGTGAGATGTGAACATCGCTATTCCAAGTACGGGGGCGTCTGAGTCCAGTTGCCCCCGAGATGAGCCACAAGCCCCTAGAGAGAGTTCTGCATGTCACAAGTGACCAGGCCCTGGCCTCAAGGCCTCCTGACCCCCAGCCTCTCCTCCCTCTGGGTTCCACCCTCTAATGCCTGCGTTTGCTGATGACGGGAGGAATTCCCCCGCACGCCACTAACACAATAAACCGCCTTGTAATCTGGATGCACTGGAGTGTCCTCTTTTTATGCTGGGTTTTTCTACCTCCCATATGCCTTTGTTTTGGTATGGAAATCAAAAAGAAGACTAGGTGGAAAAGAAAAAGCCGTGGCTAGGATGGTACGGGAAGTATCATATAGTTGAGACTAAAAGGAGTGTGATGATGAAGTTGATCCAATTCCAAGATTTCTTGCTTTTAGGAAGAGGAATGTGTTCCAACAACCAACTAAAATGAATTTCTGAAAAGTGAATCTTTTCCATTCCGTTACAAAACTGTTGACGGATTCTGATTGAGGTAGGGGGATCTCCTGAAGGAATACATTGAAAATTAGGGTGAAGAAGGGGTGAAAATAAGGCATACTGGGTATTTTAATACATAATCGACATTTTCCTTATGGAAACTGTAATCCCCAAAAGACAAAAGGAGGCAGATTTCTTTCTAGTTGTAATTGCTTGGAATCCCTGTGGCACCTTCTTGACTGTAGGCCATGTCTGTCCATGGTCAGTCCATGCAACTGTTACACCTTTCCCTCGACCGCAGGACTCTCTCCTCTGCTTGGGTCTTTGGGGCTGACCACTCACTTGGCAGTCTGGAATATAGCTGGGCTGCAGTACCGCGTGCTGCCAGCAGGTGGCCCTGACTAACCATGGTGCTCATCTCAACATTGTCGTCAAGCCTTCCCACTTATGAATATGCTCTAATTATAGAATTCTGTTCATCAAATACACTTCAAATGGAAAAAAAGATCTGTCTGCATCCCAGCTTTGTAGCAAAGTCCACATATAATTAAAAGCTCAGAATATTCTTAGGTCACCATTCCTTGTCTCTCCTAAGTTACATGAACCTCTACCACACAAGCAACAGACTCTAAGGCTTGGGTTGTGTCCAAAGAAGCTAGTATTTCAGGATTGCCGTCAAGGACACTCAGAGTAAAGTTAGTATGATTCACTTAAAGATATACATTCATTAGAGTTAAGAATACATTAATGTAAAGAATACATTCATCAGAAGGCATTTGCTAAAATGACCATAATTGTAAATTATATGTTACAGTAATATCACACATTATGTTTCAAAATTTGTTTTCTGTTTTCCATCACGTTGCTAGATTCTGGCAGTCACTATATCCAGTACTTGCTTCTTTTTACACAACCCACTTTAAACTCTCCTAGACTAGCAACCTAAAAGACACAGTCTACAGCTGACTTGAGGTTCACCGGGCCCCCTTCTCTCCATCCCCTCTCCCCCTTTGCGCAGTGGCCTGGTGTGAGGGTCCTTCGACGTCCCTCCATCCCCGAAAGAAGTTCCAGCCTGAGGCACTAGAAAGACTGAGGCAGGACAGGAGATCACCAAGGTGCGGCCATGAGATGTGGGTGATTCTGACTGGGGGACTGAATAATGAGCCCTTGGTGTCTGGCTTCTAGGATTCTTGCGGCAAAGTCAGAGCAGGGCTTGATGTTCTGAGAAGAGAGGGCTTGGCATCTACCTGGCAAGGGGGGTGGCACCAACCTGCTGTTAGCCCCTATGTTGACACTCGACGGCCCTCTGCCAGAAAATTGTGATAAGATAGCATCTCTGAGGACTACAAGGTGAAATGACACCAGAGGTGTGCAGGGTGCAGCTTAAGCAACTGTAACCAGCAGCCCTGGGCCAACCAAAGTGCTCTAACCCCTGGGCAATTGCTTCATATGATCCCATTAGGTCCTCCTCTTGATCTCCAGTCCCTCTCCAGTCAATAGAAACTAGTTGGGGCGGCCCGGTGGCATAGTGGTTAAGTTCCTGTGCTCCACTTCAGCGGCCTGGGGTTCAGAGGTTCAGGTGCTAGGTGCAGACCTACACACTACTCATCAAGCCATGCTGTGGCAGAGTACCACATACAAAATAGAGGAAGATTGGCACAGATGTGAGCTCTGGGGCAATCTTCCTCACCAAAAAACCCCCCCAAAAAACAAAAAACTGGCACCTGACCCAGCCTTATCCCAAAGAAGGCACATCACAGGAGTAGGGTGACAGGTGGATCACTTACTCCAGCCTCACATTCGTAAGGAGACTTTTGACCTCTTTGCAAATGACTGCACGTATATAAAATCGCAGAGATGCACTGACAGCAATAAATGAAGGTGTTCATCTCCAAATTCAAACCTGCGTCACATCACCTGCCCACCTGGCCGGAGTGCACGAGGAGGTATTGGTCTTTAAAACAATATCCTGCAATTATCCAGGGCACAACACAATGTTATCTCACTTTGTGTATAAAGGCGTTCGTTTGTGGATGTAGAAAATTGAAACCCACCAAACTTTTGATAATTGTCTTTTGGAATTTTCTGGAAATATCTGGGCCTCTCTGGAGCTCTGAAAGGCCCTGTCACCTGGGGAAGAGAACCAGGGTAAAAAGCAAGATGAGCCAGGCTCGGGGGTCTGGTGCAGCTCTGCCCAGCCACTGCCTTCTTCTTTCCCCTTTAGCTCATGGGCTGCTGGAGCACCTTGCGATCAGGGTCCTCGTAGCTATTTCCCCGGCTTCCACTCTTCCTTCCTTGGCATAGCTCCTGCCTTAGGCCTCATTTTAGAAACTGGAGACCTACGGGTAAGATCTTCCTTGGAGGGGACCCAGAGATACCCCCTCTGAATTTGAAACCTGCTGTTTTGTAGAACTCCCTCCTCTCAGCAGCCCCCTAGCGCCTCCCTCAGGGTTTGCTCTCTTCTCTGTGGCATTCCTGGTCACTTCATAGTTTGGGACTAGCAGCCTACACAAGGTTAAGGTCCGAGGGGGCTGCTTTGTCCTCTGTGTACCTCGGCTGGATCCTGACAGCTGCCACCAGAGGGCGCCTTGAGTCCCTGCTCCAGAGCTGACCACCAGAGGGCGCCTGGAGTCCCTGCTCCAGAGCTGACCGCGGATGCTTACCCTGAGAGAAGGCCCAGAGTTGTGCTGTGGCCCTGCTGATGGTCGGCTTTGCTGCCCCCTCCCCACAGTGAGTTCGACTTCCCTCCTCCCTTTATTCTGTCCTCTGGGCCCCGGCCACGCAGGTGGCCTGCCTCCGCTGACTTTGGGTTATCCCCAAGCAGAGACACCTACAAGTGAAGTGAGGGGGCATCCGTCTTGGGCGTTTAAATATCCCACATCTTTGCATTTAGGGAGGCTTTCTGAGTGGTGGTGCATCCTTCTGGGACCCTCACAGCTCACCCGGACCCCTCCTTTTCTGGGCTCTGTACCCGTGGAGTGTAGGGGCCAGGCGGCCCCCTGAGGGGAGAAGCTGCCCACAATTCACTTACTCTACTTGGTGAAATTTGCACGTTTCCTTTTGGAGGGCGACCTCTCAGCCCCGTTCAACTTTGAGAGCTGCTCATGGCCCAACAGCCCGATGCTGTACTACGATTTAGTTTCACACTGGCCCGAGGAGACACCGTTCCTCCTCCTTCCATCCTGTTTCTTCTTAGATGCTGCTGGCAATCACCGTCCGCTGTTGGGAGTCCAGTCTTAGAGCGCCAGGCTCCGAGCCTCAGCGCCCACGACTCTCCGAGTCTCCCGAGGTGAGGACACTGCCGGCTCATGCTACCGGAGGGCAGCACTGGGAGAGGGAAGCCAGCCAGTGGGAACCTGGAACAGATAGCAAGGAGGAAGCGAGGAAGGAGAGAAAACGTGGGTCCACCTCAGCGATGCCCTCAGGAGCCCCGTTTGTAGGCTCAGAACACACCACTCAATACCAAGAGGACTCTGCAATGAGAAGTTTTGGGGAAGGGTGACCTTCAGGCTTCAAAAGATCCCAAATCAAAGGGAGAGTAAATTATATTCACCAAAGTCCTGAACCAGAAAGGGCACCCAGGTTCTCTGGTAATTAGGAAGTCTTTTTCCAGAACATTCTTTTGCCTCAGCATTCCGGGAATTGAAGTTTTACTGAACCTCAAGGTTTCGGACTTAGGCCATTGTGCTGCATCCCTTCCGTGTCTGTACTTCTCCCACCAGGGTGGATGTGAGGTGCCAGAGAGGGACCACAGAACAAGCATGGCACTCCTTCCTAGAGCAGAAATTTACAGATTTGGAAAATAAAACATTATTCAAAAGTTTAAAAAACAGTTACATAATGGAATAGAATGCAAAATTCATAGACTTTAAAAATTAAATTCAAGCTATAGAAAATATAGAGTTGCGAGACATACTTTGGTTGAAAAGTTTGAAGGCACTGCCTTGCCTAACTGGCTGTGTGACGTTGGACAAGTTTATTCCCCTCTCTGAGCCTTGGTTTCCTCGTCTGGAGAACATGGGAGTGATTTGGACTCCATGATTTCCAAAGCCTCAGGGTTTAGCCGGCTGTGCTTTTCTTTGTATTAACTTCACGAATCCATCTCTTTCCTTATGTATTAGTCAGGGTCCTCCAGAGAAATAGAACCAATGGATATATTTATATTAGATTTATTTCAAAGAACTGGCTCATATGATTTCCCAAGCCTGAAATCTGTGGGGCAGCCCCGCAGGCTGGAAACTCAGTCAGGAGCTCTTGAGGCAGAATTTAGTCTTCTCCCAGAAACCTCCATTTCGGCTTTAAAGGCCTCTCAACTGATTGGATGAGGCCCACCCACATTGAGAGTAATTTCCCTTAGTGTAAAGTCAACTGATTGTAAATGTTAACCACATCTACAAAATACCTTCAGCGCAACACCTCAATTGGTGTTTGATGAAATAACTCAGTATTATAGCCTAGTGAGCTGACACATAACACTAACTGCCATGCCTGCTAGTGGTGAGCAGGGTTAGTTTCATGGGTGCGTGACTTGTGTAGTACTCGGAAGGCCCCTGTGCTTGGTTTAATGCTCTGCTGTCACCCTCTTGAAATTCTTAATTGTTTTGCGCTGGGCCCTGAGAATTACATAGCTGGTCCTGCTGAAGGGTTAGTTCTTGTTCTTACGGCCGTGGACTTGGGTCCTCTGCTGAGCCAGCCTTCCTGAGGAAGTCTGGTCCAGGTGGGCTGGCCTGGTCTTCGTAGTTGTGCCATTTCCCTGACACTTCATCCCGTTCTCCCTGGGATGGCTATTTACCATCCTATGCACATTAGTCTTGTTTCCCTGAACGAGAATATAAATTTCCTTATTTTTATTGGGATGAAAAATACATAACAAAAACTTTACCATTTTAATCATTTTTCACTATACAGTTCAGTGGCATTAAGTACATTCGCACGTGTGAAACCATCACCACCATCCATCTCCAGAACTTTTTCATCTTCCCAAACTGAAACTCTATCCACATTAAACAATAACTCCCCATTTCCCCCTCGCCCAGCCCCTGGCAATCACCATTCTACTTTCCGTCTCTAAGAATTTGACAACTCTAGGTGCCTCATTTAAGTGGAGTCATAAAGTATTTGTCCTTTTGTGACTGGCTTATTTTACTTAGCAGAATGTCCTCAAGGTTCATCCATGCTGTAGTATGTGTCAGAATTTCCTTCCTTTTTAAGGCTGACTAATACTCCACTGTATGTGTACACCACATTTTGTTTATCTGTTCACCCATCAGTGGACACTTGTGCTGCTTCTGCCTTTTGGCTATGGTGACTAATGCTGCTATGAACATGGATGTTCAAATATCTGTTTGAGTCCCTGCTTTCAGTTCTTCTGGGTATATACCCAGAAGTGGCATTGCTGGATCGTGTGGTAATTCTATGTTTAATTTCTTTGAGGAACCACCATACCATTTTCCACAGTGGCTGCACATTTTATTACCTTCCCACCAGCAATGCACAAGGATTCCAGTTTCTCCATGTCCTTGACAACACTTGTTATTTTCTGTTTTTTTTTTTTTATAATAGTGATCCTCTTGGGTGTGAAGTGGTATTAATTGTGGTTTTATTTGCATTTCTCTAATGGTTGGTGATGGGGAGCATCTTTCCATGTGCTTATTGACCATTGTGTATTTTCTTTGGAGAAATGTCTACTCAAGTCCTTTGCCCATGTTTTGATTGGCTGTTTGGTTTTTTTTTTGTTGAGTTGTAGGAGTTCTTTATATATTGTAGATATTAACCTCTTATGAGATATATGATTAGAATATAAATTTCTTGAGGCCAGGAATCTGTCTTAGGGTTCTTTTAACTCTGCAAAAGCACTTGGCACCTAGTAGATGTTCAATGAACGCTCCATGAAAGAATAGCCACACAGTGTGGTAGGTCAGACACAAACTGAAATGAAGTTCGCAAAAGGAAAACGAGGAGCATTTTCCAGGGAAATCCACTACCTGCTGCCTCCAGAGGGAAGCCAGGGAACAGCGAGCCTCCTGCCCCCGAAGAACTCCCTTGGAGATGAAGGGGGAGCAGAAAGTGAATCAAGTCTTGACCTTTATTGAGGAGAAGACAAGGAGAGTCCCACTCCCTAAACATCCCCTGAAATACACATGCTGAAGGTCAGGCTGTGCGAGGTCAGATGAACAGATGGACCCATCTGGAAGAGGGCAGTCCCAGGGCAGGGGGCTCACCTGAGCATTGGAAAGACCCTCGAGAGTGAAATAAAGCGGAGCACAGTACACATGACTTCTGTGCCCAAACACGTGTCAGTGGGCCCCTTCCCAGGAGGCCTGGAGAGAGGACCCCTGGAGCTGCAGACGCCCAGCTGGCAGGTGGAACCTGCGAATGACGGAATCTCTAACCTCCTAGACAAACTTAACACTTTGGGGCTTCTCTATCTCCTGGGAAAACAGGATGTGGTGATCGTAGGCTCAGGGAAAGAGGATGCCACGTGGAGGGGTAAATGGGGATTTGAGTGCTCTCCCTTGCATGGTTTGCTGTGAGGATAAAGGAGGTAGGAGAGGGGTGGGGGCTTGCCCAGATCCAGGCTCATCACTGTGGGTCGGAGCAGCTGTGGGTGCTGTAGCAGAGGGCTCTGGGGGAGAAGTCTGCTCCCATCAGGCCAGGGGGACACTGAACCTTTAACCTCATCAGAGGTGGGCCTGGGGGATGGGATGGGGCGGGCTTGACTTATTTTCTGTTTCTGCTTCAGTAGAACACCTTCTCCAGATACACATTCAGGAACATCCCAGTGGGGTCCAGCTTTTCTCGGATGGCACAGAACTTTGGAAAGGCAGGATACATTTTCTCAAAGTCCTTCCGGGTGCAGTTGTGGGCCTGTAGAAGCAACCAGATACAACAGGCCTCGTTCCCTGAAGCTTGCATTTCAGCAGGGCTGCAAACAGGCACCCTTGAGTCTGTGTGCCTGTATGCATGACATCCCTACCCCCAGGCACACACAGCACATGCATGCATACACATTCATGCATACAAATGCACATACCCACACCCACATGTGTATGCACGCACACACACACATTCATGCACACGTATGCAATGTAGAGACTCAAACAGGAGGGAGGAAGTTCTTGGAAAGTAAGAAGGTGTTAAAATGTGGCATTAAAACCCCCATTCCCTTTGCCACCCGGCAATGCGATGGTGGAGAGAGCGCTGGCCCCAATTCTACTGCTAATTAGTAAGTAAGTCCCATCATCTCTGAGACACCCTCAGTTTCCCATTTGTTAAATGGGCTCACTGGCTCTTGCCTTATCGTGCTCATAGGGTTTCTTTTTTTTTGTGAGGAAGATTGGCCCTGAGCTAACATTAACATCTGTTGCCAATCTTCCTCTTTTTGCTTGAGAAAGATTGGCCCTGAGCTAATATCTGTGCCCATCTTCCTCTATTTTATATGTGGGACGCCACCACAGCATGGCTTGATGAGCGGTGTGTAGGTCTGTGCCTGGGATCCAAACTTGTGAGCCCCGGGCTGCCAAACCAGAGTGTGCGAACTTAACCACTACGCCACTGGGCTGGCCCTGCTCACGTGGTTTCTATGAGAATCAAATGAAATGAAAGATGAAGAATTTCTCTGAAAACTTGGAGGGAACAGCAATCACTGGGCTATTGGAATGTGAATGCAGAGGGAAGCTGGGGGTGGTTAGGCCGGTGGAGCCCCTCCTTCCTGGAATTTGCCCAGCCCCACATTTCCAGACATCCCAGCCTTGGGCAGGCTGAGGAACAGGGGAGAGAGGCGCCCCCTGGTGGAACCCCCCACTCACAGCAGCTGCCTGCAGACTCGCCCAGGTGAGACTCTCACTGGAAGTCCTACCTTGGCCCAGTGGGGCCTGCCCCCGACCTTCTTCATGATGGTCTCATAGGCCAGCCAGTAGTCCAGCCGTGGCACATCCTTTCCATAGGGCCTGGGGAGGGGGCAGAAGGAGGTGAGGCCCTGTCCCTGCTCTGTATCGTCCCTCCCATAGTTATCTGGCACCTTCTCCCGGCCACACCCTGAACTTGGCATGTGGCATGGACATCAAGACGTGGCTGTGCCCGCAGGACATGGACAGCAGAGACCCAGCAATGGGAGGGCTTTCACTCATTGCTCGTCCCCAGAGGGATTTGGAAAAATTTGCATTCTCTCACATATTTTTCAGTTGGCATCTGAAATTTATAATGAATTTAAATAATTACAAAGATTTGTGTACATATGTATACACACACATAAATCTTTAAAATATATATACATATATATGATATCCGTTTGACAAAGCCTAGGAACTTCAGAATTGCCTCATTCGACGTATGGGAAGCACGGCCACACAACCTAGTTGGTCATTCCTCGCAGCCAAGTCAGCCAGTCAGACTTACTGACAGGAAAAGTCTACATCAGAACTTTTTAAAATTCAAATAAACGTGTCATGATGCATCTCCATGGCAACTTTCTCGCTTCTGAATTTGTGTTCACATGTAGGGAGAAGGTAGACAGACAGACAGACAGACAGATGAGGTCTGAGCCTTGCCACAAGCTTGTCCCTATGTGAAATAAGCTGCCCCTCATTCAGTATGTCTTTCAGAAACTCTGTTTTCTGGCTTTCTGGGACTCCCCTCCAGAACAGTGCATTCTTGAATTGTCTTGAGCATCCTACAAGTTTAGGGTTTTTACATGCTGGACAAATGCACCACGTAAGATGCAGGCTGGGTGAGAGGAGTGTTTTTCTTTTGCAAAGTCACAGAAGAGCTATTATCAATGAGAGAAGGGAAAGAAGAGGCAGAAGGAAGACACCGCTTAAGAAAAGATGAGCTTCTTAAAGGATGCATGTCCATAAGCGTCGCACTGGAGACCGCTGTGTAACTAACTAGGAAAGAGACAATGCCGTCGTGAGCGTAAGGTGTCGGCACAGGGCCTGGTGGAGCTGGTCAGGGGGGCAAATGCATCCGGGCAGGCACCTCGCATCAAGCACGGTCCTCTCTTCTGCTGAACTTGAATCTGGCCTTAGAATCCTTCTCAGCATAGCATTGCAGGCTCTCAGAATCATTGACCAGAGTAGGCACGTGAGACAGCACACATTTGTCATTCCGTAATATCAGCTTCACAAATGGTAGCTATTCATGTTAACAGTACTTATTATTCATATAAATTATTGTATTAACATAGCAGAGGCTAGAAACGGTACTTGTAGGAACTCAAAGGAGAGAGCGAGACTACGTATTTTCTGCTGCCAGGATCAGGGAAGTCTCCCTGGAGAAGGTGACGTTTGAACTGGCCTTGAAAGATGGGGGAGAGAGGGGTCCTTCCAAAGCAGAGGGGTCTCCCCCGCCCCTGCCCCTCAGTGAGCTGGTCACCTGTACATGATGATGTTCATGTAGCAGCTGTCCCTCTGGAAGCAGGGGCTCAGCAGGATGTCGTCCCCCCGGGTGAAGCGCACCTCCACGGGGTAGTGGGCCACTACCTTGGGGTTGGCCTCCAGCATGGCCTTCAGCTCCAGCAGGGCCTCCTTGGTCTTCTCTCTGCACTCAGCCCAGGGGACAGAAGTCAGACCTCAGGAAGGGACCTCCGGGAACCATCACAGGAGGCTCTGCACGGCCTCTCAGCCGAGGGGGCCTCTGCCTTCCTGGGCCACACTCAGCGACAGGGGCTCCCAGCTCACGGCTGCTCTCAAAGCCTTCCTCACGGAAGCGAGCCTGTGAGTGTGCCCCTGGAGATCTACCCACTGCTCCTGGTGCAGCTCCAAGGGTCCCCACGGAATCAGGGGCTCCCCTCGGATCTCTGGCCACAGCTGTCCCACACCCCCGGCCTCCTCTTCTTCACAGTAAGGTCACTCTGGTTCTAATACTTCTCCTTCTTCTAATATTCCTGCCTAGAGAGCTTGGGGGCCCCAGCCCTGATCACAGGGACAGAGGCATCCCCTAAGCCCAGGGCGCCATCCCCTCCTTGGCCTGGAGAGAGACGGAGAGAGGGGACAATTCAGAGAGAACGTTGCAGTGAGCTGGAGTACAAACCCAGCCTAGTACCTTGCCAGGGGTCCCTCCCAACGCAGAGTACAGGCCCCCATCATGGGTGGGCTCTGCCGAGGGACTGAATGCAGGGCACAGTCTTGCAGGAAAACGAGAAGCTGGGCAGGAAGCGCCGTGCTCTGCTCGTAGCCCAAGGCTGCGTTACCGGCCTCACGGCTGGAGAGGGGTAGAGGGGAGAGCGGAGGGGACTCCGTGGCTCGTTTCTTCGAGACGCAGAATGTTTAGTGGAAGACACTGGAAGGGACTCGGGCTCTGGTGTGCCCCCACTAATGATGGGTGGGCCTGGGAGCCTGGTTGGTGATCTACGTGTGGGTGCTGTGGCAAGGACCGAGGGGACCTCTTTGTCACTGACGTGCCGCAGCCTGGCCCCGCGCAGCCCTACCTGGGAATGGCCCAGTCCTGGACGTGCTGCTTGAAGCGGCACTCGTAGCTGAAGATTTTGTGGCTGAGGTTGCTGTTCTCCTTCTTCCCGGTGAACAGGAGCCAGAAGAAGAAGCGATTGATCCAGCCCACGAGGCCCGGCAGAAAGGTGCTGGAGGGGAGGGCAGGGGAGCACACAATAACCGTAACAGCCAGTGTTTAGTGAGTGCCAGCTGTGTGCCAGGCACTGGGCCGAGTTCTCTATAACCAGGCCTCATTCTTTACACACTCTGCCACAGACGCTGTCTAGAGCTTGGAAATCCTGCCAGGGAATGCAACCATCGCTCTCAATCTGTCTCTCAACAGCGGCACAGCGGTCCCGGTGTGGATCCCCATGATTTATCCCACTATTCACCCACGAATGACTAGATTGCTTTCGATGTTTGGGTTTTTTTTTCATTCTTAATTGTGCTCAAAAACAAGTAACTCAAAATTTACCATCTTAACCATTTTCAACTGTATAGTTAAGTAGCGTTAAGTATATTCAGGTCACTGTGCAACATATCTCCAGATACTTACTTGCAAAACTGAAACTCTGTACCCATTAAACAATGACTCCTCTTTTCCCCTCCCCCCAGCCTCTGGTAACCACCATTCTACTTTCTGTCTCCATGAATTTGATTACTCTTGTACCTCATATAAGTGGAATCATACAGTATCTGTCCTTTTGTGACTGGCTTATTTCACTTAGCGTAATGCCTTCAAGGTTCATCCATGTTGTAGCACACATCAGAATTTTCTTCCTTTTTAGGGCTGAATAATATTCCATTGTATGTATGTACCACATTTTGTTTATTCATTTCTTCATCAATGGACATTTGTGTTGCTTTGACCTTTTGGCCATTGTGCATAATGCCACTGTGAACATGATCATTGAAATATCTCTTTGAGACTTTGCTTTCAATTCTTCTGGGTATATATCCAGAAGTGAAATTGCTGAATCACATGATAGTTCTATTTTTACCTTTTTGAGGAACCTCCATGCTGCGCCGTTTTACATTCCCACCAACAGTGCACAAGGGTCCCATTTCCCACATCCTCACCAACACTTGTTCTTTGCTTTCAGTGTTTGGCCACCACATGCACACTACAACAAATGTCTTTTTGCTTATATCCTTGCCAGATTATTGGGGCAAAGGGCAAGTAGAGTTTTAATTTCAGCAGGTTGCTGCCAGATTAATTTCCATAAGGACTGTCATAATTCACGCTCCTTCCACACCTGGCCATCCTGGGAAGCCTTGAGTGTTGTAAGTGGCCAATGGGGGCCAGTGTCCTAGGATGGGATCTTGGTTTACAGATTCTTGTCTCTGGAAATGCTGCTAGAACTGCCCAAGTCATCGCAAAGGGAGGCTCTGTGCCCCTTGGGCCAAGAAAGAGCTGTCACCTGGCTTTTTACTCTAGGAAACTCACTCATCAAGTATATTCTTCAAAATCTGTATTTACACACACACAGATTAAAGTTCCTTTTTTTCTCTTTATAAAAGAAGCAAACGTTCACTGTAGATATATTGGAAGGCCAAGAAAACAAAATCAGCCTTCTCCATGCTGTGCAATGTCAGACCTAAGGCCTGTGGTATCTGCCCAGAAGGAGGGGAGGGGGAAAAGGGAGCTCTTGCTGTGGGCAGGCACTCGCTCCACGGGCCTGTTCACTGCGTGCCACGTGCACTGTCTAACATTTATATCTGAATCTGATGGATGACAGATAGATTCCAGCCAGGTCTGCCTGACTCCCTGAAGCCCATGCTCTCCCACTACATTACATGCACTCAAGACACAGGGACACGGGAAAGACAGCGGGGAAATCGTCCAGGGAGGTGAACAACTCAGGTTGTGTCCTTGAATGTGTGTGGTAATCTGCACGTTAAGGGCAGAGAGCTGGCGCTGCAGGCTGTAAATGCAGAGGCTGGGAGGCAGCCTCAGGGAGGGCTGACCGCAGATGTGCAACCTGGGGCTCTATGGGGCAGGGGCAGGGGGAGCCGGTCCTGGCAGGGGCCAGAGGGGACATAGGTCCAGAGGCTCGATGCGGGACAGCTCACAGAGGCCTGTCGGGTCGCCCCCCTCATGAACTCAGCTCCTGCCGGCTCAGGGCCCTGTGAGTTGAGTGGGCTCTAATGTCACTGCTGGTGACAAGGCTCAGTCTGGCTTCGGGGGTTTTCTGGGTCTGGTTAAAGTGCCAATGGGCTGCCTGCTTTGAGATCTGTGGGCCTGGAACCACGCACAGAGCAGGCCTGTTCTTCTGGTTTACTCCCCTCACTCCCTGCAGGTGGCCTCTGCCCAGAGGCTCAGCAGCCACCTTCCCTCCCCACAGGTCTGTCCCTCGTCCCATCCCTGCCGTCTCATTGTCTGCCATAAATCCATCCCAGAGCACCTCGTGTGGGGTTACAGATGACACCAGCGGATTCTTGCATTCTGCCACTTAGGTGGGGCATGAGGACACTTCGTGCGCCTTTGTGAGAAGGGAGGGAAGTGATGTCTAATGATTCATGAGGACTTGATATTGAATCCTCTCAACAGCCCAATCCTTTCTACCAACTGTACTTGATACATGGGTAAACCACAGCTCAGAGAGGCTGAGTCATTTACCCAGAGTCACACAGCAGGTGAATGAAAGGGCAAGGATCAGAGTCTGGGCCCACTTGAATCAATAGCTCATGCTCCTTCCATGGTCCCAAGCTGCCTGGGTTTCCTGAGACTCCGCATGGATACATGCTGCAGGGGTGTGAGGTGAGGAGGATGTTATCTCTCAAGGGAGATGCTCTCTGGTGTCTCAGAGGCCAGCCTGGCTGTGGCGGGGCTTCCACTGGCCCCAGGGCACAGGGCTGTTCTAACCACAGGCACTGAGCTTTGTCCTGGCCCTGGCTCAACCTCCAGGGACCAGTTTCTGACAGAGAGCCTGCCTCTCTGTCCTGGTCAGCTATGGCCACCACCATCACCCCCACAGCTGACTGCTACTGAACTCTTCAAGGACAGGGACCAGACTTTTCACTTGGCATTTCTTACACAAAATCTATGAGCCTCCTCTAGTGCCAGTCATTGTTCAGGGCACCACAGATCAAGCGTGACAGGACAGACAGGGTCTCTGCCCACACAGGGGTATGGTGAGTCTTACTGCAAGCAGCCATTAAACCACCAATTGCCCAGCCTGATATTTACTTTTCCCTCCTGCACCCTCAGGCACACAGCTCAGCCCAGAGCTGCAGGGATGAGGCAGGGTGGATGTAGTTTCCAGAAGCAGCTAAGCTGGAGCCCCATGGGCTGGGCTCAGAGGCCACAGAGCTTTTGCAGAGCGTCCAGCCCCGGCCGGGATGTGGCAGCTATGATTTAGAACCCAATTTATTTAGATGCTCCCTGGGCTCGGACTCCACAGACGCGGGCACATAAAGCTGCCGAGCTGCCGTGATGGACGCTGGAGAGCAAGCCTGACACGGCATTTTCCACTCTCACCTCCAATCCATAATCTGATGGAGTGATGGCCTCAGGCTGAGCTCACGCATGGCAACTCGACCCTTCCCTGCCCAGGTCCAGGAAGTCACGTCTTGTTTCACTTTCCTGACAGCTTCCGGCAGTTAGTCCTCTTCATAGCTCGGTGTCTGCCCCGAACATGGGGCCCATCTGATGCCATCTGTAGCTCCCTGACCCTCAGGAGAGGCTGACACCCTGAAGGAAAGAGGCCAACTCTTCCCGGATGCCTGGATTCAGACCTAAAGTGCCAAAGGTCTCAGCCGCATCCAGAACTGACAGGAACACCAGCCAGTTCCCCAGGTCCTGTCATCAGTGCCACCTTTGATGGGCTCTCATGACCTTATGGTAGGGAAGGATTTCTTAATAAAGTACAAAAGTTCCAAAGATAAAAGAATAGATGGATAAATTTGACTCTATGAAAATTAAATACATCTACACAGCAAAAAACACCATGAAAGTGAAAGACAAGATACAAACAGGGAGGCGATGTTGCAACACATATAACCCACAGAGGATTAGTGCCCAAAATATAGGTAAATAAAACCCTATGAAACAGTAAGAAAAAAACCACCACCCAGTTTTTAAAAAGGGCAAAATACATACATAGGCACTTCACAGAAGAGAAATCTGAAGGATCAATATACTGAAAAGCTGTACAACCTTATTAATAATCAGGGAAATAAGAATTAAAAACCACAATGAGATACCATTTAATACATATCACGCAAAAATTTAAAAGCCTGACAGTTCCAATTTTGGCCAGCTGTGGGGCACAGAGACTGTTACATCTGCCTGGGGAGTTAACTTGGTGTAACTTCTTTGGAGAAAATTTGACCTGATAAAGCTGAAGGTGCTCATACTTGACGGCCCAAGAATTCCACTCGTGAGTGTACACTCAAGACAAAAAAAGCGTCAGGAGCAATGTTCAAGAATGCTCACAGCAACATTGTTTGCAATGGCAAAAAAATCCTGGAAACAACACAAACATCCATCAACAAGAGTACAGACAAATGCACGGTGGTAAACGCATAATTAGAGCTATCCGTATCAACATGGATCAGTATCACTAACAAAGCTGAGCTATCAGATTTATTATTTCAGGATTCATAAAACTACAGTGTAAATAAAAGCAAGAGAAAGATAAGCATGAAGTTCAGGGTGGCAGTTTCCCCTTGAGGGGAGGTGCTGTCATCTGAGAGTGCCACAAAGAGGACTCCAGTTGTACTAGGGTTGCTTCATTTCTTAAGCTGGTGGTGAGGACATGGGTACTTATTATATTATTCTTTATACTTTAAATATATGTTGCCTAAATTATTTTGTTTGTATAAAATATTTCAAAAAGTTTTACATGATGCCATCCCTGCGTCGGCTGGATACAAAGCCACCAACCAAGGCCCCATAGAACCTTCTACAATACTCATAATTACATGCCCAGTGGCAGACATGGGGCCTGAGCAGGAGCAGATTTTAGGCCGAGAAGGAGGGAGAAAACAGGACAATATGACAAGATTTGTATGACCTGTGGGCCAGGGAGTGGGGCCTGGGCACTGGTATTTTTTAAAAAGTTCCCCAGGTGATTCAAATGTGCAGGTGGGGTTGAAAACCACTGCTCCACACCCAGCAGACAGACCCAATTTGCGTGCATGAAGGTCAGAGTGTTACTCTTCCGATGGACCACATCCTCCACAGCATATGGTGGATGCCGGAAAAAGGCACCCTTGCATTCCTACCTGATCCAGAGCAGGAACTCCAGTAAATAGAATCCAATGGCATAGTCCCAAAACCAGTTGGCTGAAGAGGAGGGGGGCTGGGAAACAGAACATGTGGTCAGTTCAGGGCCAGAGCTGAGCTGCCTTTGGACAGCATCAGCTATGCATCACAGCGTCCCCTTAGAGGCAGATGTGTCCCAGGAGTGGCTGTGAGTGTGTGTGTTTGTGTGGAGGGGTGACCCACCTGCCAGGACAATTGAAAGCCTGGCTTCTTGGTGGCATAGCCAATTCCTATGTCCTACCCCCTTTCGTTTCACGCTTGTTTATGTGTTTATGCATATATGTATTTATTTTGCTCAAGACAAAGACGTGTATTTGTCCCTCCTCTTCAGAGCCTGTGAGCCAGGTGTCCAGCGATCACCGTTTATGAACCCCACACCAGCCCCTTATACACAGTAGGTGTCATGGCCTTTGCCTGACTTGTCCCATCAACAATCATCCTGAGCGGTGGCTTTGTTTTCTTGTGCTGAGAAGCAGCCTGTTTGCTAAGGATGTGGGGGAGAGACAAAAGGTTTCTTCGCCTGCACAATCGGGGGTGGGAGAGGTGGGGGTGTTGGAGGGAAGGTGGGTTGTATTAGATGGTTTCTGAGGTCTAGCCCACCTGCCTAGGACTCTGCCTTATCCTGTCCTGCCCACACTCTGTCCTCTGCTCCCCTCCCCCACAACTAGGCTGTCCCTTGACCTCCCCCTATGCGTCTCTACCCGCGGACACATTGACCCACACTGGGCCCACCCTCCTTCTTTCTCCAGCCTCTGGCCTTTTCTGCTTCTCTCATCATGTGCAGGGGCGCTCACCCTCACTTTCCCTCGCACAGTCCTCTAAGCCTCAGGATGATAACAAGTGTCAGCTGCCCTGGGAGCTGGAAGGGCGTGGGGACTGCGGGCCGTGTGTGAGGACGGGATGACGCCCGCGGCTACCTTGTTGGTGTGGTCCTGGTAGATGATGCTGACATTCTCGCTGTGCGGGAACCAGAGGAAGCGGAAGTATTCGGATTTCTTCAGATGGCTGTCTAGGTTGTCAAGAACCTGACCCCAGCAGAAGGAAAAAGGAAAGATTGTGTTGGTCACAGGGTGATGGTGGGGAGGACTGGAAGTCGGAGCCGGGATGTGCCTCAGTTTCTCCCCATCAAAAGAAAATGCTTAAAATTGTCCTAACATTGCCAAATGGCATGGAATTGTCTTATAATATGCCGGACATTGAAATGGTCCACTTACATGCTGACTCCCCTGAGTAGCTGAGAGGATAGAAATGATTTCTTATTTGTCCTGGCTTGAACAATTACTAGCTACATGAGTTTGGGCTTGTTATCCAACATCTCCGGGCCTTAGCTTCCTCTTCTGTAAAATGGGACTAATAACAGTCCTCAGGTCAGAACTGTTATGAAGATTACATGCACTACTGACTAGAAAGTGCTTCAAATGGTGTCAGGTAAGCACTGTAGTTGTAAGCTGCTGCTGCTGCTACGGGTACTCTTACATTGTTGTCATCATCATCATTATCATCACCATTCTCACCATCATCTCTCATCCCCATAATGCCTAACACATCGCAGGTCCTCAATAAAATGAACAGGGGAGTCCTGCTCTAGTATGGCTCATCACTGCACACATGGATTTAATAGTACAGAGCAAATCGTATCTCCCTGGAACTCATCAAGCTGATACAGGACAAGGCATGAGCCAAAGCATAGACAGATTTGGGTTTTCAGGCAGCTGGGAGGTTGGGGAAGAGCACTGGTCTTGGAGAAAGTCCTGGATTCAAGTCTTGGTTCTGCAGCTTACCAGCTGCACGACCTTAGAGGAGCCAGGTACCTTGGTTTTCTCATCAATAACATGTGGGCCCTTGTGCAGATGAAATGAGATAACCTATGTTGAAGCTCCTAAGTAGAGTGACTACCACGTGGCATGTGCCCAGTGAACGGTTTTGGTTCTGAATTTGAGCAAGGCTAGCACATGTCTAGGGCACCAGTCCTATTCCCCCCGAAGGTCTTAGTTGCAACTCTCAGAAAGCCTTTTGAGGCCTCTGGGTACGTCTCTTCATCTGTAGAGTGAAGACAGTGATATCTTTCCTTCCTTCCTTCCTTCCTTCCGGGTCTGTTGTGGGGAAAATGGAGATCATGGATTTGAAAGAACTTTATAAGCTGTCAACTCAACATGTGAGCGAGGGAGGATTGTAGCGCCAGAAGAGAAAGCTTACTGATCAAATGCACTGTGGGGAATTTGGTACCCAGCATAGATGAATGGTTGCATCCAACTGCAGATCATTACACGTCCTAAGAGCTTGGTGAGCTTGAGGGAGAATCACCGTTTCCACATCAGACCAGGAAGGAAGGTGAAGCCAAGGTAAACCACTGAGATGAGCCCATCTAGAACTTAGGTTTGGAGTGTCTGTGAGAACAGTGGATTTAGAATTCTGGATCCTTGTCATAACTGTCAGGGAGGACCCCTGACTTACTAACCGATGCATGATGGGGCCTGGGGGTAACAAGGAGTGGATGGACAATTGTTGCATTCAAGTGGTCTGGCTGTTGTCCTGAACCTCCGCCACCCCATGCCGCCCCAATCTGTTGGTCACCCTATTGTATTCCTGCAAATGTCTCTCCAGTCTCCTCCTGTAATCCACTGCTGCTGCTGTGACCTAGCCCAGGCCCTTCATAGCTATCACCTGTACTCTTGCACCAACCTCATAATTCACCCCACTTCTCATCTCTCCAGATAGAATCTACAGGGAAGCATCCCAAAACACAGCTCAAAAATTGCCAGCAGCTTTCCATTCCTACAGAATAAAGCCCAAACATCTTAGTTCAGCATTCACAGGCCTCCTTACACAGACACTGTCCAATACAGTAGCCACTGGCCACAAGTGGCCATTGAGCACATGAGAAGTGACTGATCCAAACTGAGATGGGCTGTAGTTTAAATGCTCAACTTAAATGCTCCCCATAAAGCCACCTCCTCCCATTCTAAGTGGTTTCTACTTATATTGCATCTATCCCAGAATTATATTGCAGTTATTGAAGCAGACATCTGTCTTTGAGATCCATCAACAGTCTCTTATAGATCAGGGACTATTTCACTCACCTTTGGTTTCCCCCCCTAGAGCAGAGATCAGCAAAGTTTTTCTATAAAGGGCAGATAGTAAATATTTTAGGCTTTGGGGGCCATATGGTCTCTGTTGCAACTACTCAATTCTGCAATGTTAGTGTGACAGCAGCCATAGATAATATATCAACAATGAGCACAGCTGTGTGCCAATAAAACTTTATATACAAAAATAGGCAGTGAGCCAGATTTGGCCTGTGTGCTTGGTTTTCCATCCCCTACCCTAGAGCTGCTGGCACAGGGCCTCACAGGTAGTAAATGCTGCAGGACCCTATGATGTCTTATTTGAAGATAAGGGCCTTTCCTGCTGTGCTGTAGGCCTGGGAAAAGTTTAGGAAGAAACCCCAGGGTCCCTGTCACTATCAATTCCATCCTGATGGGACGATGGACACATGGCACACAGAGCTGTCATGCAGAAACCTCTGGGCAGAGCCGATTTTCTCTTGGGGGAGCAGGGAACACAGCCTGGAGGCTTGGCCTGGAGGATGTGGCTGGGACACTAGAAAGCAGAAAAACCCTTGTTTCCTCATGTCTTAGCATCCTGGGCCATCCGACTATATTGCCCAGAATAGCAGCAGTAAATGTAATGGCGCCCTTTTCTCAGGTCTGGCACCTGGGAGATGCGTATCTAGCTTCCTACCTAGAATGGAGTGGTGAAAGTCGCCCCCACGTCACATTTTGTGTCTCTCTCCTGGCATCTGTCATTTCTTTTCCTCCCTGCATTAGAGAAACAGGGCATATCTTTTTCCTCACACTAAATTATAAGCTTCTGGAGGCCTGAACCATGCATGACTCAGCTTTGTACCCTCCATGTCCCCTAACGTAGCACCAAATGGTCACTGAAGGATGGAACTACCCCAGGCCTCGTCCCATTGTGAATTAAACCCTTTCCCTTCAGGGTCCACAATCCTATCTGGAGAAGGATGGTCCCCGGGATCACAGATTTCCTTGATCTGACTTGTGTTTCCTGGGAACAACTATCAAAGGAGTTTGGGCCCCAGAGGAATCTCTTCGTTGGCATGTTAAGGGCATGAGGACTCTAGCAGGTTCTGCCCCCCCAAATTTAGAGTTGTAGCACTACTGAGTTGACCTTTGGGGAACTGTTACCAGGCTAGTGAGCAGAAGCAGAGGGCTCCATGTCCCAGGACTGGGGGTTACCCAGTCATCAGCAGATAGCCACCCAAGAGACTGGTGGCATCTAGATGCTGCTGACAAGGGTGGTGTGTCACTAGGACCAATCCCGCTTTCCCCGGGCATGGGGGGAGGGGGCGGTGCAGGCAGCCAGCAGCACTCATCACATCTCATTATGGTTTGGGTGGAATAAAGGACAAAATGTTGACAGTGATGTCTAAAATCCTCATATCTTCTCCCTGGCTGTGATTCCATACTGATCAGACCTCAAGAGTCAAAATGCTGAGACTTTGTCACAAAAAGCCATGAAGGCTGCCCCTTTCTCAATTCCACCTTCACAGAACTGAACTAGCCATCTTTCCTCGCCCTACTGCCCTGTACCTTGAAGCACTGATTCCAACTCTCCTGGCAGCCAGGGAATGACCCCTTCCCTCACATGGCTTTGAGCAGCATTCAGAAATTGTGTTAAGATGTATTTAAGAGAATCAGTACTGGGAAGCATGGCGCTGCATCTGAGATGGACCACATACAACATGGGTGGGAGGAGACCAGGAAAATCCCAGAAAAGGATGGATTTTTAATAAGTTCTTGATCAACTAACCTTGAGTTACCTGTATGGAGCACTGCTATGTATTTTGTGGATCCTAAGGAGAAAGGAGGCCTCAGATAAGATCCCTGCCCTCCAGAAAATGATCACAGAGCAGGAAGAGGGAGGGAAAATGTCAAGACGTGGTGACAATGCTCATGAGCAAATCAGGGCGACCAGCACCTCTCGCCTGCAAAGCGCATATTGACTCCGAGTCTAGACTCTATCCACAGAGCAGGTGCCAGTGGGTAGTATTCCCTTTGAACAAAGTTGGAGAGAGGAGGAATTGGGGTTCCTCTCTCTGAGGCTGTAAAAGGAAGCAAGGGCAGAGGATTCACGGGCTGTGTTTCCTTGAGTCCTGACAACAATCCTGTGGGGACAGTCGTGCTCTTATCGCCACGCACAGGTGAGCAATCCAAGCTCAGAGAGGTGGGGGGACTTGTCCAAAGTCACAGTGGGTCAGTGGAGAAGGCAGGCTTCAAACCCAGGACTCTGACTCGGAGAAGTGCTCCAGCTTCTACCCTGTACCCCTCACAATGGGCCTCCTGGGGCTCTTCCAAAATTCAGGGCTGGAAGACCACAGTAGATTTTCTATAAGCATGTGCTGGAGGGAATGAAGGGAATAGGAAGGGGAGAAATATAAGGGAAGGAAAAATGGCCAAGAAGCTGAATCCTCAAACCTAACTTTCTATCTAAGAAGCAATCGTCTTACCCCTTTGTTCTGGCTTCCTATCCCCTCCTCCTCGCACGTTCCTCCCGCGGCTCAGGACCAGCCAACCTGAGGGCTCGACCGTCAGGGAGCAGACCCATGCCTAGAGAGGAAACGAAGACACTGGGGGGCTGCGTACATCTCGGAGCAGCCCCTACATAGAGGTAAACACTCAGGACAGGACGGTTTGCAGCCCCAGTGGACACAGGACAGTTTAAATGGCAAGAAACCAGGAACAGATGTCAAAGCATGTCTTTGACATCTGTGTGTGCTGTCTTGCTATGGCTTCTCAAGAACCTCCATGCCTCCTGGAACTTAGGTCCAATTATTGCTCCTTTTAGATTAGAGGGAAACATCCCAGGCCAAGCAAGAGTGAGGAGAAACTGTTCTAATGACGATTTTCCGATCCAGCCTCCTCCTCGAGAGGCTGGTTTCTTTGAGGGGAGCAAAGCCTGTATTGCGGCTTTCTATCTCCATCTTAGCTTTTCCTCCCAAGCA